ACATTAGTCACATTTAAATGCAGACTCAAAACTCATCTGTTTAGCTGTGCATTTATTGAATGAGCACTGTGCAATGTCCGAACTGATTGCACTATATTTTATGTATAATCGTTTTCTATTCTTAACCGTTTTAAATTCATTTTAAACCTCTTAAATACATTTTTTAATCATTTTCAAAGTTTTTAAATTAAATTCCTTGTTTTATTGTTGTGATTATTTTTTTTATTTTCTCACGTAAAGCACTTTGAATTACCATTGTGTATGAAATGTGCTATATAAATAAACTTGCCTTGCCTTGCTTTAATTACATAAGGGGCAGAGCAGTAAGAGGAGAAAATACTGGGTCAAAATAAGCCTATAAAGGTTCCAAAATGGGGTTTTTTTGCAGCAATGTCATGGAAGAACCTTTTTGGGTTCCCCAAAAACCTTCCAATAAGCAAATCCTAAAATAACCTATTTTTTTAGATTTTAATTTTAAAGAGGGGGGGGGGGGTTCTAATGCTATTTCATGCATTCTGGGTTGTTTACACTGTTAAAGAGTTGGATTCTCATGCTAAACATGTCCAAAGTTGTATTTCTGTGCCAAATACACTCCTTCCGGGTTCAAATAAGTTTCAGAAAGTTTTTTTTGAGCATGCCTCTTCATGACATCACGAAGAGCGGAATTCCTTGTATGGGCACTTCTCCCGGAAGAGCGCGTGCACACAGCAAATACAGCTAGAGCAAGAGCGAGAGTGCACGCTGCGCGACCATCAACATGCTTCTTTCGGGTTCCGGAAGTCGTCGGCACACTGCGCAGGATTTGCTCAAGAAGAATGTCTCCAAAGAAGTGTGTTTTTGGATGTGAGGGAAAGATAACCATATTCAGCTTCCCAAAGAACCCAGCGTTAAGGGAACAGTGGATGCAGTTTGTTTTTCCGGAACAGCAACGGAGTTTCGCACACGTGTGTTTGTTACTGTCATTTCAGTCATGAATGTTTAATAAACAAGGCCCAGTTCGACGCTGGCTTTGCAGATCGTTTGATACTGAAAGATATAGTGCGGTCTCAGCGATAAAATATCCCAGTCATGAGCAGGAATCACAGGCAGTGAGTAACTGAAAAAACTGCATCAAATTTCTGCGTTTTGTGCTCGTGACTCATTAGCTCCACCCATGGCACGCCTCCAGGAGCTCGGTTGTTTTCGGAGAGAATCGTAATGCTGTATCTTTCTTTTATAAATCTGATAAAACTAAAGACTCTTCGGAGATATGAAGGATGTAATACTACTATACTTTGCTGATAAGATGCGCGTTAAATATCGCATGCGATTAATCGTGCAGCCCTAATGGGTACTCAAGATTAACATGAGATTGGCGAAAATGTGTGTGTTATGCCCCCTTTAATTATCTAAAGAACCTTGAAAAAACCTTGCACAATGGAAAGGTTCCATGGATGTTAAAGGTTTTTCATGGAACCCTATGCCAATAAAGAACCTTTATTTGTAGACAGAAAAATATTTGACCAGTTCTGTTTGTAAAAAATTGTGGCTGTGTCTGAAAACGAACAAAGCTACCTTCTTGTTTATTCAATGACAGGCAGTATTTTGTGTATAAATATACCTAAAGGAAAATGGTTTCAGCCAGGCTTCCAAAGCACCCAAACATCATTTGTAATGTTCTAGAAGAAAATCAAATGAGTTCTAGAGATAGTATCTATTTCATATTTAGTGCTTATTTCTCTAAGTTCAAACATTGAAATAAAAACATTGACATATAGCCTATAAATGAATTTACTCCTTTCAGTTGCTCTATCACATTTATTATTTCCACCAACTGCCAACCCACACACCATACCGACTGGAATATCACAGGTAGCGAAGGACACATCTAAGCTTCAAAATCCAACCAGATAAAGGCATTTTAATATACAGGATGTGATGCAAACAATGAATTCACGCATGTCTTGATGCTTTCCGACCTATAGGCCACTGCCTGAGAAGGCAGCTTTTTTCAGCTTTTGGACACAGCCTAGGCTATATGTCATGAGAATTTGATCTTATTAAAAAAAAAAAAAAAGATTTTTTCCTATTCCATATATTTGACCATATTTGCTTACAGAATGATAGAATGACACTATGCTAAATATTAGTTCATATCCCACTTCGCAACATAGGCAACGCCTCTTTTGTAGGACAAAATGAGACCTGGCACAACCACGGCAACCAATATTCAGTAGCTTAAAGCCAATAATTATTTAACCCACGTGCAAGTAATTAACTCCATGTGACCTGTTCCAGCTAAATATAATTATCTGGCATAGAACCTGCATAATAATAGATGTTTTATTGCTCTCTTATGTTTCAAAACACCCACTACGCTTGTGTATGGAGTGGCTAGGTGACTAAGTTATCCTGAGTGTGCTAAAATCAAGTTCTGTTTGAGCACTTCATTTTATAAACATAACTGCATACAGTTCTCTTTCTGTCTTTTTAATAGATTTTTTTAAATACCTATTTCTGTATTATTTTAGTGGGTTTTTCTTATTTCTCGCGTCTAATAGATAGTTGTTAGCCAAGCAAAATTTCTCAGAATTGTTTTAGTCGTGTTGAGGTCCAAAATAGAATAAAAGTAACATAAAGCTTTCCGCATAATGGTTCTACTTACATTATGCGACTACAGATACATATTCATTGTATTTCCGCGAGAAATGGTCGAGTTAAATTTATTTAGGTGCACATTAGTGAGATGAAAATTATTACACTAACGCTCCGGACCTCGTTGCCATGGCAACATAGAGCCTTGGCCAACTCGCGCTTCCTCTTCAATGAAAGCTCACGAGACATGATGACAACCCGCTTTTATAAATATACACTTACCTTTCATATGAGTTGTTTCGTTTGCCAAGGCGTTTTCCGCTGTGACGCCTCTTACAGGTCATCGAAATCCTTGATGCAAGAGAATTTCATATGTGACATTTGCGGTTGTCCAAACTTTCCTCCCTCGAAGAGGGAGGCAGGGCGAACTACGGTGTGGTGTGAGGGACATGACGAGCACGAGACACCTGCACACAAATTCAATAACTGGAAGCATGAATCCCAAGTAGCATATTATTGTCATGTCACGACCAGTGCCGTTTCTAGCCTTTCATCAGTACTTGAGTCCAATATATGGGATATACTGTTGTGCTGAATACCTTATATTCGCGTGCCATGATATTTGCAATGTTTATGCAATATGCAATGCATTTTTTTTCTTTTTGTACTCTAAGTACTTCCGTATGCTGTTAGTTATTTTCGTTTTAAAATGTCTTTGCCTGCACTCTTGAGATGTTCAAACGCTGCACGAGCAGGTGTTGAACTTAATCATCTTCATCTCTGGCACGCAGGATCAATTTGAAGATTTTATTTCAAATAATTGTAGGTAAATATTCCACTTCATCCAGTGTCGCAAGTATTCCTTCGTATTGTTTTACAATAGCGACAAAACGATCCAAAGGATTCAGTGCGTCGAATGATTCCTACTGAATCGCGAACCGATTCCAACTGTTCTGCTAACCGATTTGACCAGTTCATTGAACTGACTCAAATGAGTCATTCATTCCTGTTTCGGGAATCAGCAGTTCTGAATCTGAACAGTCGACAAAAATACTGGGCACACGGCGTGATTGTCACGGAAAATGTCTCTAGGATCAGTATGCTGCTGCTCCCTAGTCAGAGAAGGATTCATTAGTACAGTTTACTGAAGCACAGCAGAATATCACTGCGGCTTGTGCTACGCCCTCTTAATAGGTATTGTGTTATATAGTGACATAGCCTGTTTAAAGACGTTCACTTTAATCTTGCACGTGCTACAGCTGAAATAACTGCAGGACATTCTTTAATACGCTTTTAGTGAAATTTGATATAAACTTGTGTGTGAATATTATGCTATATAAAGTATTGTTTTTAAATGCAATTTAAACAAAAATTTCCATCAGTCAATATAAGCTGGCATTGATCAGTAACAAAATGTGCTTCTCTTTTAGATTTTGCTTATGGTTAAAGTTTTATCAGTTGTTAAGACGGTTAGGAAGTACTAGGTGTTTGTCTCCATCTAGTGGATCATGAGCTCCTGTAAGGTTCATGACTGTTTTGTCTCATTTTAAAGTGGCACATGTGGTATATTTCTGAAAGTCTGGCAGTGGCATACTCTTCTGAAGAAATGCTTTTTTTTTAAGGTATAACATAAGTATATTAATTTTTCAGAGCTAGTAAGGTAATGAATAACTTTAAAGTTTTGTTACATTAATTTCTATTTACATGATATGTACATTTTATTGTAGGTCAGTATGGTAAGAAAACAAATGGTAATTTAGTAAATGTACTGAAAAAAAACTGCATATAAGAGTAGGCCTACACCAACAAATCTATCTATAGGGGATTTAAAAACAACAGGTATAGTATTTATAATAATAATAATTTATGCATTTAGCAGACGCGACTTACAGTGCATTCAGGCTATACATTTTTTACCGTGTGTGTTCCCTGGGAATCGAACCCACGACCTTTTGCGCTGCTAACGCAATGCTTTACCACTGAGTCAAATTGAAAAGTGTATTTAAACCATCAGTTAAAAAAACATTGAAATGGCTACATTGACAATTAACTAACATAAGTTGCACTCGTGTGAAAATAGAATCAATTTATACTTGACTGAAATAGATTGTATAGATCAACACTTTGACACAGTAAGAGAAGATTCATTGTAAACATATCAGGTTATGATAGAATGTCTAAGCAAACACATCTTTTATTAATTATAAAAGACATATAGCAATAGTAAAAAAAAAAACATTTTATTCATAGGTTATTAGGTTAGCGAACATGTTAATACATTTAAAAAATCAAGGTACACATTCCACTTTAACTACAATTGTAAGAAAAGTTCTCTACAGTATGAAGTGGAATTCTGCATTATAAAGCTGCTCTTCAAACAAGTTACAAAAAATAGACAAACACAACCTGCTCAAGCTAATCACACAAACTACTGAACTATACATGACATTACTGGTACCTAAACAATAAACTGAAAAGTAGAATCAGTATTGTATTTTGTAACTTTAGCAGCACCAGTTAATTCTGTTTAATATATCCTTCATCTGATAAGCAGCCTTGCACAAAATAACTTTACCTTTTTTCTCCATCGACAACTCTCAATTTATTGATATTTCTGTAATTCTTTGAATTTTCTTTTTTTGGAAGTCTTTCATGGCTTCTGTTGCTGTGTCTCATTACACTCCCCATTTCCCTACGTTGTGAATCAGTATACCGTAAACACAAATTCAAGCACTCGCAAGGGCCTTGAGTCACTAAACATTGGGGCAATGATCGAAAACTGGCTCACACATAAATGTCACTGGTATTTATCAACAACATCACTGTATTATATTCCAGGACCAATGCCCTTCTAGTATGATTTGTGTTGTTTAGCATGCATCTTCACAGTAGCTGTAAAAATACAGTGCCACAATGACATATCCACTCATCCACCATTTCTCTTGACTCAAGACACACAAAAACATGACAGGATATAAGCAGGGTATAAGTGATTTAACAGTTCACACACAGTGCTTTTCCCAATCTAGACTGCTAACTTTTAAACGAAGTGATCAGCACGATCCCAGCTAACAAAAATATGCTCTAAGAACGTTTTGCTAACGTTCCTATTATGTTATGAAAACGTTTTCTGAACATTCGAAACGCCCAGATTTTTAAATGCTTGAAAAACTTTTTTTGTTATATGAACGGCAAGGGATCATTCCATTTTATAGTTTTCCAATGAATGTTCTCTGAATATGCGGAAACAAGTAGCAACATTTTAAAGATGTTAGATGAACGTCCAACTAAAAACGTTTCAGAAATAAAACATTCCATGAATGATGTATAAATAATGTTTTGTGCTCATGTTTTGAGAACATTAGTAAAGACCAGATAACTCTGAGTGAACATTCTGTTAACATCAAGAACTCTTTTCCATAACTTTGAGAGAAACTTGGCAGAACATTAACCAAAGTTCTGAGAACATTCCTTGTTAGCTTGTTTTACCTTGTTTTTGTGATAAACCTAAATTAGAATGTGTTTTTACACAGGTCATTCCCAAGGGTCCACAAACCTCTTCTTGCAGCTGTACATTACATGCGGAAAGGCTGCAGTTCATTGTTTTTATTCAAAAGAGGCCCTGCGAATGCTACGGAAGGAATGCAGGAGAGTTTTATTTTCATTCCTCTGCCATTGGTTTTTGTTACAAAAAGGTAATTTATCTGCATTTTACACCTCATCACAGCATCTTGATATATGAAATTCACTTCAACTTTGTTGTGCATTCATTGACGCAAACTCGGTCTCATGCCATTAAAACATTTTCAGAGAGCAAGTGAAATAATGTGTGCTACTCTTTCAAGAGAAAAGCAAAAGCTTCACCACTTTGCAAACATTCCCCATTCTTCTCAGAGATATTGAAAATATTATCAAGAGGTGTATATATGTCAACAAAAATATGAATTTTAAGACAAAAGTTGCCTTGGGTTTTCTGACTCTTCTGATACAGTTAAAAGAAAATTCATAAACCATGAACCACTGCTATATATGATGTTCTCGGCTGCGTGGGATTTCTCATAGTCGTTTGAATTTGCACTATGTATCAAAGCATACTTCTATTCATACACATAAAACATTTCCAAGAACATCAGGTTTAACAGGGTGAAATCTCCATTACTGATTCAATGGAGACTGACTCATTGCTAGGCTCTTTCATGTGCTGCACTCAAACAGACTGTCTCCTCTTGCCGAAGACATTGTTAATGAGCTTGGCCATGGATTTGGAGCCACTGTACCGCCTGCGGTCGCCTCTATGCTTAAGCTGTTCCATCACATGGCGGATGAGCTTTGTGAAGAGGTTGGAGATCTCCAGGTAGTTCTCAGCCGCTGAAACCTCCTGGAAGTGGCATTTATTCTCCTGGGCCAGAGAGCAGCCCTCCTCTTCACTCACTTGGCGGCTGTGGCATAAGTCTTGCTTGTTACCCACCAGGCAGATGGGAACCTCCCTATTGAAATTAAATCTGATCATTTGCTTTCAAGAGAAAATTGCTTTGTGATTAGAACATGGCCATATGATGTATTAAGTAAATTGAGTAGTGGTTAGGAATACATTTATAATTGCTTCTAGTTTAATAAGTAAATGTGACATTAAATAGTAACATCCATATTGAATCTAAACATGTTCATACACTGAGATTCATTTCTCACACTGTGTGTCCTAATTGGAACAATGGCAGTGGCATAGCCTACATTTTTACCTCATCTGACACCATAGCAAGTGGAACAATTTGACATTAAAAAATATCATATGGTCACAATGTGGTTGGAAATTTGCTGCAAAGCTAAAACTTTGCTATTTTTGAAGTGTCAAAATTTTAAGCCGGTTTTGGATTTTGGATGTTGGATTTTGACCACCCATGAGTGATCTCCTTGCCCATTTCAGAGTTCTAATGGGCTCCAGATGCCCAGTCTCATGCTCACTTACTATTGTTTCAAAGGACTTTCAAATGACAAATAACCAGTGAAACCTAAACCATCCAGACTTTTACATTTCTCTTTAAATGTGACGGACTAAAATGGAAAGCTTTGGCCTGCTGGTCATAATACAGTTATCAAAACCATTGGAAATCTTACAGTTCTTTTGATTATTTGATGTGACCCAGTCTGTCCTTTACAGATGCGCACAGATCCAAGCAGGAAGCCTCCACTCTGTTCTGCAAATGGTCCTCATTAATTCGTTAAAACTCCATCGCCCTGTTCCAGTCAACATCAGACAGAGGTCAAAAGGTCACTGGAGAGACTCTGACTCACCCTTTACAGGTCCCTCGACGACTCTCTTTGATCTGCGCCAGGATGTTTTTGGCATTTAGGAAGGACGTACGGTCACTGATGGTGTACACCACCACAAAGCCATCAGCCCAGTCCAGTGGTTCCTCTAGGATACATCTGCTTTCTCCACTCTGCCAGGGGGTGGGGGCACACAGAGGTCCAGTCAAAAAAAAGACATGCTCATGTAAAGTCCCGTCTGACAAAATGGAAAAGTGGATTGTTATTTCATTTGTTTAGAGTTGACTAGACCTCTACCAGAAGTTTTTGTTATGGATGCAGTGATTGACTGCCATACATGTGTTGACTGTATGTACACAGGCATTTAGTTACAGGGTAGAAAGGTGCTCATCTCATGACTTCAGTTTTGGAAATCAAAGTAAAACAACAACTGGCGAAGTAAAAGTTCCCAGATACAGCAGCCGTAAGACATGCGGCTCAGTTTTCAAAGGCTTTGCACTGTATACTCTGCTTCAGGGAAAGACCATAAATCCCATCAGAACACAACGTGCATTTCCCATAAGAAGCAGGTATATCTGAGCATGTTGCCCTATGACAGTGTTTGTATGAACGCTAGCCATGAGCTCAGGGTAGCCGTTATGAAAGAATAAACACATACCTGTGAGCACGGATCAAAGACTTCCAAGTTCAACTGTCTTCCATCAATGGAGAGCCTTTTATGGTATAAGGAGTCTGCAACAAACAATGTTGGATAAAATCCTTGGTATTAAAATAAACGTGCACATCATAAAATCAGACCCCTGAAATCAAGGTAGACTGTTAGATGCTCATATAAAATTCAAGGGAATAAAAGTAGACGCTGAGTGCATGTGATATGATACACATGTAGTTGTATCAAGAGGTGCAGTGATTACTGAAAGCCTCAAAAAAATCCATGGCATGATTAGATGGAATAGACTTTTAGGAACTAGACAACAGGAAAACATACACGACCAGCCCTGCATGTACACAGAGTTGAGCCTTTTACAATCAATGTTAACATTCATTATTTAGGGATGGAAATTGTGCAATCATTTACTCAGCCTAATGTCTTTCCTGTATGACTTTCTTCTGTGGATCACAAAAGTAGATATTATGAAGAACGTTTTAATGTTTTTGTCCATATAATGAAAGCTAAAGGAGTAAAAACAAAACGGAACCCCATTGACTTATATTTTATGAAATAAATATTGTAAGAAATAAACTCATAAAGGTTTGGAATGACATGAGGTAAGTAAATTATGACAGCATTTTCACTATCCCTGTAGAGCTCATCAAATAAAAAAATAAATACACTGTCAAAATTTATGTTAAAAAAAAGCATCTGTGGTTGCCAGAAATTCACTGTAAAATATACAGAGACAATGTTTCAGGTATTACAGGATGGCATAATGGTGCCTGTATATTTTACAACTTTATTTCATTAAGTTATGTTAATTTACCAAACTATTAGAAGTACCAAAATCTGCTTTGTACCTTAAAATCTGCTGAAAACCACCAAAATAATGCAGGTTTTTAAAGAGAAAGCCACATGATAAATCATTTAATTGTAAACAGCCATCGTAAAAACAAAACACCATCAAAACAACACATGACACTAAAACAAGAAGTTCTTATTTTTCTATAAAAATTACAAAACTATTTTACAGTGTACTTTAAGAGATTTCTTACTTTTATGCAATAAGCTTTGTTTCAGTGTATTCTTTTTTTTTTTAATCCTTTTACTCATTTCATTCAGATACATTTTTGCACTCAGATGCATATTTCTTTCCAATTGCATATAAAGGAAGTACTCTTGCATTAATAAAATACATGTGAGACTGTACTTACTGGTATTTGACGCATATTCTCCTATGAATCGCTTTGTCAAGAATCTCACCAAAACCGCTGAGGACGAGAGGAAATGATTGATCAGTCAGTTATTGAGATTGATCATCCTAAACCTTGATGTAAATGACTCATATGACCGGATTAAAATAGGAAGAGAGAGAACAAGGTCAAAGAACAAAACTTGGCCAGTCTACAGTGAATGCTGGTGCATATTTGGCACAGGAAAAACTGTTACATTTTCTCCATGAGCACACTACCTGGTCTATATTAAATATTTGAGCCATGAAGCTATGCTGGCTCATTGAAGTCAGGGCTTGAGTTTCCGTGCATAAATACACACTCCGCGGCAGCCTCGTGAAAGCTGCTTTCAATCCCCCCAACCAAATATAAACCATTAAGCAGTCAGGATTTAATATTCCTCACAAACCCTCAAATTTGCAACAATAGACCTTCCTTGTTGTTCTGTTCTGTCTTCACCCCGGCCATTCAGAAGGTCAGAACCCTGATTTAGGACCCCCACTAAACTAGTTTTGTTCTCAGGGGACGTAGCATCATCATTTCCCAAACACTTAATAGTCATTAGCACAGGTATGCAGCCTGAAGGGCTAAATGTTCCTATGCTTCTGAGTGGAACAAAAAACAGCCTCAAGCGCTAAATGTTCCTATGCTGCTGAGTGGAACAAAAAAATCATCTTTCCCCAATTTCAGCAATTACTTGCCTCTCACAACCATCTCTTTTAATTTCCCTCTGAGATTATTTGTATAACCATGACCTCACTACTGATCTGTTCCAATATACAAAGTGCTTTCAGTGTTTGAGGGCAGACATAATGTGTTAGTGCATTGTGAAGCACTCACACACATTACTGTACAGCTTACACATGGACCATTTCCAACTCAAAATGTGAGGACCATGCAACAGGCACATGTTGCTGTAAAGTTTACGTTAATCTGAAAGACACATATTTAGATATGCATTTAAAATGTACACACTACATAGAGTATAAGATAAGGACTCACCAGATTTGCCTGCTCCCTCACTTCCCAGCAGGGCCAATTTGATGTCATTCATTGTTGTAGATGGTGTCCGGTGTTTGCTGTGCTTCTCTATGTCCAAGTAATTGGACAGTCCCAGCTACAACCCTTTATATTATTTACTCTTCTCGGTAAAGTGGTGCCACGCTCCCTCTCTCTCTATTCCTCTTACTCTCTTTCTGTCGTACTCGTAGACGTTCCTCTCTTCCATCTCCCCTCCCACTACTCGCAGAGTGCTGAGCTGCCACAAGGTCAATTCAACATCCCTCTGACACCTCAAAGTTGTTCAGACAAGTGGAGAACTTTGCTTTTGTGAATTTAAACCAAAGTGCTGATTTTGATCAGAAACTCTGATTTAGATTTAAGCAATATTAAACTGAATCATTGTTCACGGTCCAAATGAACTGGTGAAACTATTCAATGACTCGTTTTGCAAGTTACATCGTTGCGACGGTAGGTGGTGAAAATTTGAATCTTTGACTCATCAAATATGTACAAACAAAGCCACAGCATAACTGTTATAAAACAAAACATTATAATTTAGCTTAAAGATTATAGAATACCTCAGTTTAGAACGCTCACTTGTTTATTTATATAGTGTAAAATAATCAGGAATCAAACCATGCTGAGATTCTAGAACATTCCACTTACTGTACATACTCTTCTGGTTGCTTGTTGCTCTCCGAAATAAAGGTACAAAAGCCATCACTGGTGTGGTACCTTTTTAAAAGGTACTACTATGTACCATTTTGGTACTAATATGCAACCTTTAGGGGTAAAGGTGTACCTTTTGGGTACCGTGCCAGTGACAGGACAGCTTTTGTACCTTTTTTCTGATGGTGTATAACCTCTCAGGCAAGTCCCCATATGAAGTATAAAAGTATACATAGTCTTACTGAAACTGAAGTTTGGGTCATTTATTTAAAGTGGTTGGCAAATCTGTCTTACATTAAGTATGCCATCTCTCAATTATCTGGGTGAACATGTTAGCCCCAACAGCAAAGTTCTCAGTGCCAGCATACAACTCGGCCAAGAATGTCATCCATATTTTGATTGCAGGGATCAATTCCTTTTAAAGTGGAGACCAGCAATCAATTTTCCCTCTTTTCCAGAACAGTTCCAAAAATTGAAAGACGTTCAGCCATCCAAACTTCAATTTCATGGGCTGCTACACTGGTCAGGGAGTCTTTTTTCCGCCTAAATATTTATTCTATTAGACTGCAACATGCTATGAAACATTTCGCTTATTTACTTGCATGGATTTTCGTAATTATCTACATATTTCAAATGCAGTTGCATGTCTAATCACAATCAAAGTATTTCAAAAGGCACGCAAAATGGGCAAAAATTGTCCATTAAACTACAAGAAATCATGACCTCCTTTAGAAATTTAAAAGCTGCCAGTAGAGTTATTGCATCATGTCTGTGTTTAGTGTGGTCTTGAGGGGCTCTGCTCATATCCCCCATCTTTAAGAAGGCAATCAGGGGTGTTATCCTGCAGGTATTGGGGGAATTCTCCGAGACCCAGACCAGACACTGATCTGATTTATGTGTCATCAGGAAGCTGTCAGTTAAGATGAGCCAGAAAGTGTCTGCTGGGGTTAAGAATCACAGTACCTTTCCAGGAAAACTCAATTTGTAAAGGAAAAAAATCCGATATCCCTGAAGAAAATTATCACCCTTTTAGATAGCATCAAAGCTCACTTAATATCTTTATCTGAAGGAATGGTTAGAGGAAGATTGTCCCATATGTGAGCCTGTGAGATTACAGCAAGAAACAAATTATTAATCTGCGTTTAGTATAGTATATCACATTGTAAACTGTCTTGCGTGCAATTCTCAGAATTATTTTATGCTTAATTTTGGCCTTGAATTAAAAAAAATCCTTTTTTTCCTAATCTTTATTTTTTTAAACTTCATTTATTTTGTATGCAGTGTTGATTGAAGATATCACTAAAGAAGATGTCTAGAAATTGAACTACTGCTATCTTAAAAAAAGCAATGCACAAGTCATTAATCAAACTGATGTCATACTAAGCAACAGCCTTGATTGCAGAATCTTTATCTTGCAAATATTGAACCAAAACAGTGTCCTGTTTCCCTCGTGCAAAAGGCATATGCATTTTGTTTTCACATATCAAACACAAAGTGGAAAAACCTCATTTAGATTTAGGGTGGCCGGTGGAGATGTCATCCTAAAGTTTTTCACTTGTAATGAAATTATCCAGGGCCCTCTTCTTGGCTTATGGCCTCCGTGCTGTTGGATGGTCAGACTTTATTAATCTGTCAGAACTCCACATGCAACAATACAGCCTCAAGAATCTCAGGGAGTTCTTGCAAGTCTCTGCTCTGTGGGAAAAAGCCCTCACAATACTTATTACAGTGTTCACATGCTCACAAAAGGAACACCAGTGAGTCACATACTCCACTCAGACCAACACCAACACTGCAGTTCTGTATCTCTCATGCATTTAGAGCTCTATTTCCACAAGTAATGCTTTAAAAGTTGAAATGATTTTTAATCCATTGCCTGCAAGTAAAATTTAATTAGAAAATGTAGTTGGAACAGACCTGTTTTCAAATGAGGCCTAGTGTTTGTGTACAACTTGCCAGGTTGAGTCATGAGTGTGTCAGAGCTGTCTGAACCCCTAAATGGACCATTTTGTGTAATGGAATTACACAAAAAAAAATTCTAAGGCTATTTTATGCGGAACTTGTTGAAAAGTTGAATGAGTATGTGTTTATATGCCTATCTAGGGTTTTAGAAACGTTTCAGTCTGTTAACCCATCCAACTCTTATAAAAATCAGTAATACACTCTGAAAAATCTCTTTTACAATAAATATGCTTTGTGTACATATGGCTTTGCCTATGTGCCTTTAGGGTTTTAAGTGTTTAAAAGTTGCATGTCTACCTGAACTAATGTCAATTTCCTTAAATTATACATGTCACAAGAAAATTAATGATGCAGTAGGAAGGGTTTGTCGACACAGCAAAGGTATTTTAAATTATATTGAAAATTTCCAGATGTAGTTTTAACCTCTTATTTTGTACATTTCAATCAAAGCTAGAAGTCACAGTTGTTTTTGGAAAAAGCAATTACTTGCATGATTAATTTGTGATAAAATTAGTTTACTTCTGGCAGGCCATTGATGATAATGCTAAAAAGGCCTTCAGAAAAAAAAACACTCAGATGTTTCTTTAGCGACTTCAATGCACCAATATGTAAGGCTTTGTTTTAAATTTTGCAAAGTCTTGAAGGTTCAATTGGCAACATTTCATCCATAACTGACTATATATTTAAATTAGGTGCATTTCAAGTCTGATTTTAAAAATATTAGGCAAAAGCAATGTTGTTTGTGTAGCAGAAGGAAACATCAAAGTATGAATCGCATATTTACACCATACAGTATATATATATTTTAAGACTAAATACAATCCAGCTAAAGATAGTTAATAGCATTAGAAGACGATTGAACATTATCTGCACAGCAATTTCAGCAATTAAGACCAGTATTACAAAATTCAGAAGACATACGAATATCAAACCTGTTTGTGAACCACATGGAGGAACATGCTGGACTAAAAAGTCTTCCATCCGTCTGTGAAAATACTTTTTTGTCTCATTAGTCAATGAGCATTTAAAAGATTAATTTTAAACATCACAGCAACAGCCTAATATTATCCCCCTTTAATTCTAAAAAGGGTTCGTGGGTTTCAGTCACATTACGCACATCCTCCTGCCACTGAAAAAGTCCAATATGAACTAATGTGTTGCCACAGGCTATATGAAGTACTCCCTCTACAGGTCAATAAAATCATCACAGTAAAACAGCTGGAAAAAGTACCTCATTACAAGGGATATTTGGATAAAAGAGGAATTAAATTTAGAGCAATTATATTATATAATATTATCAATGAATGTTGCTTATCTATATATACTAAATAGCAGTTGCCAGCAACCAGTCAGCTATCAAATTGATTGTACAATTTCATGAGTGTAAGCATTGAAATAATTAGGCGAGTCTGGAGATATAGGCTTATATCAACACCTACCTACAGCTACAGATAACAGCATGACACATTAACAGGATATAATGTGTGAGATTAGTCCTCAGAAAAAGCATATACTGTATTTCAACGTGAAGCAAGTCACCCAGGATGGAAAACTCAGAGCAAGTGGGTCAAATGTCTCTGTACATATATATATATATATATATATATATAGAGGCACAACTAATAGTGATTTCTCCTCCAGTTCAGGGAGTGCCTCCTCTTCCTCTTCCTGTGGCTCTGCTCTTTTCTCTCAGGCCAGGGAAATCCAGTCACCATGGCTCTCTCCAGCTCCTCATAATCCTCATTCTCTGAATCCTCCTCCTCCTGGACAGGGCAGGTCAGATCTGGGAAAACCTCCCTCAGTTTGGATGTAAAAAAGGACTGTAGACTATGGCCTGCCTGAGCCACCTCTGAGTCCGGCTGGAGAAAGAAAGCAGCATTGTCAGCATCTGCAATTTCTGACTCAGCAACGCAACTGAAATGTTCCCAAGTCCAGAAATGTAGCAAGGCGATCGGGGTAAAATAATCCATGTGACATCAGGGGTTCAACCGTAGACTATGCCGTAGATTAGTAGACTAGATTATATGAAGCTACGAGAATACGTTTTGTGGGCCAAAGAAAAAAAAAAAAAAAAATTTA